CTCTACTACATCATTTGTTGTGAACTTTCTTTCTTGTACCTCATGCTTCTAAAAAATAGAAGCGATTTTTATCCCTTAAAAACAACGGTCTCCCCGTCACTCGCAGGTTTGTTCTTTGCCATCAGTTCTCAATGGGAGACTCTAACATTTTGAACGAAGGTTATGTTTGTAGCGCTCAAACCGATTCTGGTATGTCCGAAACTTTGCCGATATCCCTGACAGCCTCCACTTAACGTTCTTGCACGCAGTTCCGATTGTTTTGAATGATTAATACTGTAATTTTTGTTATATTTTTCTTTGATATATCGTTATGTTCAGTTGTTGTAGTTTGTTTACTTCTCGACGAACTTCTTACTGTTTTTCTTGATTCTTTTTAACCATGGTGGCTTTTCACTTCTTACCGGATTTGCTTCCGGCTTAGCGCAAAGTCTATTCGTTATCGATGAACCTGAAGCTTCTTCTTGCATGTATCACACGAGGTAGTCTAAATTATTGCTTGGCATCGTCTGCAGGACATTGTTAGCTTGACTGATATATCCATGCAGCTCTTCCTTGTCTCTGATGAGATGAATATGTCTCTTAGGTTCTTCAAACAGTTTACACTCATAAACGATCTCCTGCGAAAGCAAACTGCTTTGCCATTCAGCTGATTTAGCTGTTCCTGATCCCTCATTATTCTCTTGGCTTCAGGAAAAGCAAACCGGAATCTACAGCAAAGTCTGCCGAGTCACCTGCTTCAGATCACTCTTTGCCATCCACGAGGTAATCGATCAATGGTTTGAGCAAGTAGTGCTGTTTCGTCTTTTTTTCTGGAATCATTAGTAATAATTTTAATTCATAGAGACATATGCTTAGGAGAAGCAAAATCAACTTATTAAATGGCAGCTCCACCCGTCGGCGACATGCATTTGAACTCAGTTTTTTGCGTCAGATGCACTGATGCAGAACTTCCATCAATAACATCCAACGAGTATCTGCTATAGGCTTTTCGATTCTGAAAATATCGCATTTCCTAGCCGGTCACGCAGTTAAGTTCATTTCCTTCAGAACGGCTAAGAAATGTAGAGCTACCATCACCTGCTCTTGAATACAGACCATTTCGGGCCATTAGTTAGGATGTTATGCTCCCAGAGGCCTTTACTGAATAAAGGGTGGATTTATCTGAAGCTGTCACTTGCCTGCGGTAGAGGTTACCTGCTAACTCGCTTGGGGCAATGCCTTAAGCTTCCGAGGAAAAACTGGATTTTGATGAATCATCTTGGTATTTGTCAATAACCGCTGGTAGAAGGTCAGTAGCCTTATTTTTAAGAGCGGTTGCTGCCAGGCGATATTTGACAATGCTAACGATTGTCTGGAGGTGCAGTGAAGGCATGCGCAGCAGCGGCGAACTTTTTCCTGGCACTACTCTAACATGACTTGATTATTTATGCACTCGATGGATAAATAAATAATCACAGTCATAACTGTCTGCGAGCTGGGTATGGACAAAATCGATGTTCCTAAAATGACGATATACTGTAAAACTAACTCCTCTTAAATTATTCCTGTTATTAAACTTTAAAACTTTTATTTTGCTGTGATTTATGAGGCTTACAAAAATTATTTCGATGATGAGATGTAGGAGTAAGCCACGTGAAGTTGCTTAAATATTAGTTAGCCATAATTTTTGATAAGCGTTTCATCAACTGTTGAACTTATTTTATGCTATAAATCAAAAGTAATAATTTAGACAAATTTTATTATTCTTGCTTGAGCTACAATAGACGGAAGTTGTAAATTTTTGGTTTTTAAAGTTTCTAGACTCAGTCGAACGTGGTTTGAATCCATTGAGAGTTTCAAAGCTCATTTGCGAAGGATCACTATAAAACACATTCATGTATTAAATAATTTCCATAGCATATGTAAATGAAACATCAATTGAAATGCATACGACCACGGTTTAAAGTAAAATAAAAAAATTGGTTTGGAATTAACTAAAATTTTTAAATGGAATTATGCTTATGAGTTACGGCCAGAAGTGCGAATCTCTCAGAAAACAAATTGGAATGTCACAATGACTTGTGAACTCTGCCAGAGAACTCAACGCCAGCCATGAAGAAATCGTACAATTTCAGCATGATTAGCCTACACAAGACCAATAGACATGCAACGCTGAACAAATGGGTTGTAAATCATAACGCGTCAGTTTCATGACTCGTGTTTGTTGCATGTGTTCTGAACGCATGAATCAGTGTTTGGAAAATTACGATATGGCAAAAATGTAAACAGATTACATCGCAGCTGCACAGCTTCTGTGTCAGTTGAACTGATAGTTGCATATTCCAGAAGCTGTCTTCCCTTCAAACGTTCGAGAACATGTTTCATCAGGCTCTCTAGACTGCAAGACGATGATTTTTGTTCTGTCTTTTGATATCGCTTAGTCGTTAGAAAAGACTGTCGTGTTTTACCGGTACTGTTCCTCAGTGGCTCAGAAAACTTGGCTTGTACACCGCATGTTGGAGTTTAAATTCTGACCGAGGAAATACGATACGCGTTATTTTCTTCAGAGATATGTGAAGTAGCACATAGAAGCAAATGGCCAATTCGTTGAAGCATTTTTACCAGAAAGTCATACATTTGCTCTCTGCCACGAAAAAAGATCAAATCAAAACCATAAACGAGTTAAATATCGTCGATAATCACGAGTAACGGATGGCGTCGTTTTTTTTGGACAGTACAGTAATCAGTATAATGGTTTGTGCTAACTCAGCTGTTTGCTGAGCGTGTTCCAGTTCTCAAAAGAGTCAGATGTTATGTGACATCATGCTAACATTTGATGTTTAACATTATATATGTAAGTTACATTGAATTCTTGGAATCAGAGGACTTAGTACAGTCAAAATAACAAGGTCAGTGTCTGATTGAATTGTAGGAATTGATCCATAACCATAGTGATGATCACGAAACGATCCTTCCGACTTCAGCCTCGTTTAATTCTCTGGAATTTCGATTTCCACATTTTTATGCATTCGGTCAGGCATCAGTCATAATAAGATTTTGTTAGATTTATTAGACAACTGGAGGACCTGGCGAAATTTATATTTGGCTTGTACAGCAGTTCGCTTGTAAGATTGGATAAAGCTGGCATCAGTGTCAATATTTTTGAAAAAAATGCTTTGATTATCGAAAATTGGCAATGACATCAGCTGTTCCTAACTTCTTAATGGCATGTTGAATGTTTATTGTCTAACAGCAGTTCAAGGATTTCAAGCAGATGTAAGGGCAAGGTGCGAAATCCCTCTCGCCAGCATTATTCACCGTGGTCGTTCCACCTACTGTCACATAATTGTTATTTACTATTCAAAGTTATCTGTCACAAGTTTGGTCAAACCCAGATTTGGAAAGTAGTTCCGTCACAAGATTTCATTCAATTCATGCGATCTGTCCTTCTAGTCCAAAAGAGAAAGGATCCGCCAATCTTTACTCAGCGATTAAGACAAATTCTTCACGTATTTTACCCTCAGAGTTTATAGTCAAATTGCTCGAGAAGAGTTTACTTGAACCACATAAAAATTATCTCAATCACTGATTGCCACTACCCTGTTAACCGAGAGTTACAAATTTCGCAACAGACTAAAGTAACCATATTCCGCGGTGCCTCGCTCTGATATTTGATGCACCACCCTTGTTTCTACTATCTCTTTATGATACTGACAGCGGTAGATCAGTTGGTTGAGTGATGAACTCATAATCGGCAAATTCAATGTTCAAACCTCAGTCAGGTCGCTCGCCTTTCATTCATCCGAGAGAGATAATTCAATGCTATTTTGCGGGTCGAGGGAACAGGCCCTACAGGGTCTTCTTCCTACCTACCTGTAAACGTCGCCATCAAGAGTAAAAAGTTCTGCAGATGGCATAAAACGGAGATCGACAGGGCATCGTACGTTCCATGAAAACAAGGACAAAAATGGACATTCACAGATAGAGTCCATCATTGATTGAAATAGGTGGACTAGCCTTCCACTGCAAGAGCACTGAGCTTTGTCACTCATTTTTTTACTTCAGTAACTCTTCAAAGCCTAGTCTCGTTGCAAACAAATTGTACACATAGGTAAAGTATGGTATTGAGTAGAAGTGCGCAAAGAAGGTAGATGCAAATGAAAGTGTACGTAAAGTCCAGAAAGTTGCGCGTAACTAAAAATGTAACGTTCAGCTCATAATGAGTGCTTTTCCTATAGAAGTATATTTCATTCAAATATGGCAACTAATCAAATTGCTCAAAATAGCATTTAATTAATGCCATTTGCTGTTTTCGCTAATAGTGACTATATTTAGACAGTTAAACTTTTACTTTGACAATGAACATTTCACTGTGATAAGTCTATATTATGCTAAAAATTGCTTAATAACCGGAAACCAAATAATCAGTCGTTCAATTTCACACCTGGCATGGAGGAGTGTTATCGAACGGATGATCGGTTTCACCAGGGAAATAGCCTAGTAGGTTAATCGTATTTTCGAAATTGTGACCACCGGTACCGCTTGGAATATCCACTTTTAAGCGACGTCTTTCGTTGTGTTTGCAGGTGTGTAGTATGTAAAGTTCTGGCTTCGAGTATCTGTCCGGGGAACAGTCGCTGACGCTGAAGTAGCCATTTTTGCTCACAAACGCTTCATCAGCCACTCCGGAGTAACCTGAAAATCAAAAATTTTATTGCGTTGAGAAGCAATTAAAAAATCAGAATAATAGCTTGAACCGACAAAACGGATTTTAAAATGCCTTTGCAAAAACAGATTTCGGTCAGTTATGAATAATCAATGCTGTATTTTATATTGGTTGATTACGTTATTATAATTTGCTGATTGGCGTACTATTCTTCAGGTATTAGTTGTTTCGTTGAGATTGGAGGAAGCTGCACATCCCTAATGACAATAACCTGGGCTATAAAAATTCTCTGTAATTCAATAATGTTCATAAATATCTATGCAAGATTATCTTATCATCAGCATGATCAATGCCAGATCTTTGTTATCAAAAAACTAAATGACACCTCTGATAATCAGCTTCGAGGATAGTATCTAAATACCTGGGTCATGGGGAATATCAGGAAAATGAGATGGTTTTTGCTATACAAGCGAATTCGTTATTAAACATCCTGTGGTACGCATTTAAGCCTTGAGCAAGGAATCAAGCCACTTTGCTTCGGCCCAGCCAGCCTAAAACCCGGGTAAAAAATTGGTAACTTTCGAAAAATAGGGACATCGTAGTACTCTGCTCTGATCGTGCCTGAATTGACGAGGTGTACAGCTATGATATCCGATGTGAGCGCCCCTATGTTTGCATTTTGTCTTTACTCACCTGATAGCTGATTATACTGTGTAATATTTACCTTGATGTTCGATTACAATCAGTCGATTGTACTGAGGTGTTATACCAAGGGGAACGCCAGGTTATTACTCATTTATTTTGCTGAGTTTTTCATCATTGTATTTGAACAAAACAGTAAAAGTCTTTGTTTTCGGTCACGTGCCGAAGCTGATTTCCCACAGCAGCAACAGTTGGGAAAGAGACTGGAAACTACAGCCTGCAATAGTCACATAACTGCAGATGTGACCCTGAATATAATAAAAAGAAATTTATGGCTGATTGTTTACAAGGTATTTGCCAAGCAGACAAGTTCAGACGATTGCACCACTGCATCAGTGAATTTACTCAAAAAAACAACAACAAAAAACGAGGTCATGAAGAGCGGCAGGCTGACCAGTTTGAGGCCAATCATCATGAAGTTTTTGAAGGTGCTGATGAACGAGAAGAACTGGACTTTGCATACCCACAGGAGAAAGAGGGATTCAGAAGCGGATTTAACATGATGCATCATCTGTAGATGCTACAACAAGTAATTCGGACAAGTAACGAATATTCGCTTCCTCTATACCTGGGGTTCGTAGGTTTCAGGAATGTTCTTGATCCAGTCTACAAAAATAATGTGCAAGAATTTAATGACAAATGTGAAGCTTCTCGGAAACATAGGCAAGTTCAAAATCGATTAAAGCGCTCGGCAGGATGATGCAATGTCAACAAGCTTATTCATATCAGTCCTCGAAAAGCATATCATGATAGTGCATTGGGAAAATCGGGAGCTGAAAATAAATGAGGTCACGTCATTCCCTGCAGTATGCAAATAATATTCTGATTCTCTCAAGGTTACCAAAAGGAAGAAAGAAATTCTCCAAATAAAATCTTAAGAGTTGAACGACGTCAGAATCAAAGAGAGTTCCAAATGAACCAGAAGAAGGCTTAGGTGATATAATATATACCTTACTCTGCCACCTCTTAAAGTCACAGGCATCACTTATGCTTGAAGAGTTACAAAACTATGTGTGTCTGCTACAGCAAACCGACTCTGCGAAATCAACAGACGAGTAAAAATGGCAGGAACCACTTTTGAAGACGGAAAGTCTTCTAATCCCGGATATTATCCCTCAATCTGAAATGAATAGTTTTCGATCAGTGTGTGCTCCTAGTGCTAACCTACGGATGCGTAACCTTGACTATAAGCAAGAAGCGCATTCATGAACGTCAGACTGCACAGCACAGTATAGAAGGTGTATGTTAAATAATGAATGACTCAAGAGCAGATTTCACAGCGTAGTGCATCGTCTCCATGCCATTACTTGTCTATGAGGTTGGGAGAGGGTATTTTTGCAGGCCAAGGTATTTGCGCACCTGTACTGTCAGACGTCTTTCTTATAATTTTTTCCTGTAGAGCCGCCTTGAACTCGTCACGAGCAGCGTTTTAGGAGCCGGTACCCCTTATATGCTGCCGCATAAACATCATCAGCTGCTCGTATGTCCGAGTAGTTCCAATGGCGTATGACGAGAATAGCAAAAAAAGAAAGACAAGGGGTGAGTAAAAAAACACAGAGGAATTTTAGAGGTCATTATCCGAGTGAAGAAATTAAAGTGGCAGTGGAGGACACGTTCCAAAAAAAGCACGACCGCTCGACCAGTCAGACATTAGACTGGATTCCGAGAGAATAAGCATACTGTATAAAGAGTTTTAGGTTGGTAGCAAGATGAATTGAAAAGTTCGCTGGATGTCAATGGATGGAAATGGCAGAAAACGGAAGTGTATGGCGAATACTTGGAAAGACCTCCATCCAGCAGTGGGCCATAAATAGCTTATGAAACTGATTGGAACACAGTTTGGCGCCTCATCATAATAATCTGTTAGAGAGGCCCATAACTTGGTTTTAATCATATGAGTATAAGGAAAGTCTGGAATCCCAGCCATGCCATATTTTGATTTTTTTTCTGCCAGTCTACAGCGGAAAGCGTATTCACCTATTCCATATTTCGTTCTTTTTTCGCACATAAGCAAAATCAGTCAGGCTTAAATTTATTTGCTCACAGCATCAGCGGTAAATGCGAAATCTTTCCGTGCCATAAAACCAGTCATCCGGTGGATGTCCGCTATTCAGTTCGAACAGACGTGCATTCAATAGTTGGCCAAACGATCGAGGAGGTTTACTGCATATACTTTAAGATTGATGGATAACTCTTACAAGATCAGATTGCTCTGAAACCTGACTCCAAGTTGCCTAGGATAACATTTTTATCATGGAGGAGTTATGTGCTGTTT